GTGAATAATGCTTCTTTTTGCAGTTTGAATCCATTTAAGTTAGTGACACAGTAACATTTGATTATGGGGACAGTTGATGTTTTGCATGCATTTGGTACTAACAAACCGTAATGGTTAATGCAGAAACACATGGCACATTATTCTTGCAGAAGAAAAAGTTCGCAAACATACCAAAAAAAAAAAATGCTTTGATTTAAAAGTGATTAAAAAGTTTTGCTTTTTTGCTCTATTTTCTAACATAGCTTATCCAAAGGATCCTGAGAATGGAGAGCGGAGTCCCCTGGACTCATCCCCGGACGATTACCTACCCCCAATGATACATCAAGGTAAACATGTTAAAAATACCAGAGATTTGTCTCAGTGTTGAAAAACACTTGCACTATAAGTGCATTGTTTAAACTATCTTTATGAATGAAACATAATGTTAAATTGCAATATAATGCTATTTAATAATTTTATTTAATAATTTACAAAGATTTAGCAGAATAAAAATGATTTTTTTCTTTCTGCATTTCATTTTTGCATTTTTCACTCACTGTAGCTTTCTTTTAGGTTAAAAAAAATTCCAATTTGTATATTTTTCTGCTAAAGTTCTGCCTTTGTGGATAGCTACCCCATAGGATGTGATTTATCATAACTTAATGCTCTCACTTTCCTGGTAGATTACTTCTCTACTTTCAGATTTGCATTTTTAAAATCTTAACATCCTTGATCACATTATAGCAACTAAAAAAATTCTCCCAATTTTGATAAAAACAATCTCTACAGAATACTACTATAAAAATGTTTTGCTTTATAGTTCAGATAGATAGAAATGAAGTAAGTATTTTGGGTTTTGCTTATTGCAATTTAATTTAAACAGTTTCTGAATTAGGTATTGAATTAAATCTAAGTATATTACCTAAATCAAACCAATAGGTATAGAAATTATGCTTGAATCTTTGTAACAGTGCAATCCATTATTAAAAATTAGAATTAATTCTTATGCTTTTTCTGGTTTTATTATTATATATTCATTTATTATAACTCCTTCAGGTAGGTCCTCAACTGCCAACCTCTCCACTAACATCTGTCTTCTGTTCTCCTCTTCTCTTTACCTTTTAGATTATCTATCATCTTTATTCCCTACATATCTTCCATTCTCTTCTTTATTCTTGGTCTTTTCCTTTTCAACCCTCTATCCTGATGATGAATAACCTCAAGACACTCCCAACACATCAGTTCCTCAGAACTGTTTATGTGGTGTACTACATGATTATACTATTGTGTGTCTGTCATTCAAATGTTAATTATTGTTTATTTATTAATAAAATATTATTTATTCAATATTTAATAGTCTTATAAAACAATTGGAAAAAGTATTCTTATAGAAATACTGTACTAATGATCATTATTTTGTGTTTGTCTTAAAGGCAGCATCGCTGGGCACCAGTCAGAATTTCCAAATGTCGTAAGTTCAAATTTCTGTTTTGAAATCACTATTTTTATAACATTATTTTTTATTAAATTCAAACCTTACAAAGAATTTACAATAAAAAGCTAGGTAATAGTTGATTGTTTGCAAGAAAGCATGGCTGGGCACCAATCAGAATTTCTAAATGTCGTAAGTTCAAATTTCTGTTTTGAAATCACTATTTAAACAAATTTTTATAACATTATTTTTTATTAAATTCAAACCATACAAAGAATTTACAATAAAAAACTAGGTAATAGTTGATTGTTTTCAAGAAAGAAAAACATACCAATAACAAAATGATTACACATATTATAATGTAATCACAGTTTTGAATCTTAGCCATATGAACGTAGGGAGGAGTTTCCTGCTTTGGACTAAAGTAGTATTTTAAGTGTATTAACTACAAGAAGTCACACCTTTTTAACTAGTAACAAATTCTGCAAAAAATGCATTTTAAGAAAAGTGCATTTATAAATTTCTGAGAATTGTGTAATGCAATAAAAAAAAATGGTCATAAAAATGACTAGTTAATTAACAATTACTCATCAAACTTAAAAATATATATATATATAAAATTTGTCACTATGTCAAAGGGGAGAATTAAAAGAATTTTACTTATTATTCCACTACATACATGCTTAATATTCAGAATAAGAAAATGTTACTAATGAAATTAATAGATAAATAACATTTTATTTTATTTTATTTTCTCTAATAAAACAAGCTTAACAAACAAAACAAAAATTACAATTGGAAAAACGGCGCTGAAAAGGGATTCCAAAAAAGTAAACTGAATTAAAGATGGTCTCCCTCCCTCCATATAATGTTTTAAAAAAACACTTACTTCAAGCTACATTTGTTTCTAAACATTATTCTGTATTTATGTTCAGAATTAGAGCTCTTCATGGATGTATATTCTACAAAGATAATGTAATTTTTTTTTTTTGGTGAATGGTAAAGAATTATTTAAATGCTGATTGTAGGTGCAAAGAAAACAAAGCCAGAAAACAGACTCATATTCCACAATTTTATGTCAGACACTAAATGTTAATTATTTATAAAGTGCATGTGGGAGAGGATGGTAAATTCCCCAGGCTAAGATACTGGGTTCATATCATTTTAAGGATTTTTCTCTTATAGAGCTATAAGTCCTACATATTATTATTATTCTCGTAATAAAAATATACCCCTCCATCCAGCTTGTAATGGGATTTGTTATATAGAGCTTTACACAGCATACTTGCCATCTGCTATTCCTTGGTATTGAATGGAAGATATTAATATGTCATTTCCGGATGGTATCATTTCCTGATGGTATTGCCAAAAATTTCTTTACAAGCCCTTCAGTGGTTTTCCCCCGTATCTCTGTTTTTTTTTTTTCTTATGTAATTTGTCTGCATAATTCTGTGTATATGGGCCATGGTCTTTTTACAATTATATACTTTTTTGTTTAATGCTTAGATTCGAGGAATTCCGCAACATGTAGGCTACTACAACGTTCCAGGTGAGTCAGTAAATCTTATTATAGATGCACTGTGGTATAATGTGAGGAAAAAGGAATATGTGATGACATCATGTTACAGTTGACAGCAAAAGTGTTAGTGATCAGTTTGGTGAAGTATGATAAAACAGTGGCGGATCCAGAGATGTCCAAAAGGGGGGGCTGAAATTTGGGCCGATCGAGACAACAATGTCCTAGGGGGTCTAGACGCCGGAAATAACATTTGAGGCGTTGTGGGCTATCATTTTTTTTCTTTTTCTTTCATTTTTTCTTTCTTTTTTCTTTTTTTACCTCCAAAAATGGGGGGGCCGGGGCCAGGCCGGCTCCCCCCCCCTAAATCCGCCCCTGTAAAAGCACAGATCCTTCTATTAGGATTATTATAAAGGTTTGCCCATGTATGCGACCTGAAATCCTAGAAATAATGACAGCATTTTTTTCATCAATTTCAGATCGACAGAAATTTATATTTTAGGCCAAATATTGGTTAATAATAGTAATAATAATAATATACTAGTGTTAATCATGCATGGTTTTTTTAAACAAGGTTGTGGGAATGGTGGCACAATGGAGGGTTTGGGCTGTCGATGTAGAGATTGTGGTTCGAACCCATATGAATTTTGCTTTTGTCTTTGCCTATGCAGTTGATTTTGTGGTCATATATGGCTGTAAAGTTTGATGATAGTGATGGGGATGAAGATGATGTTGATGATGATAAAGTTAGTGAAAATGATCAAAACAGAATGGTAACTTGCTCTTTTTGAAATGTTTCCATAGAAGCACAGCTTCCATTTGATGATGTTCCAAATCATCCACCACCGCCAACACCAACCAGAAGACAAACAGTATCAACAACAGGACCCGTGCGAAGACCAGGTAAAGAAGAACCTAATCAATTCTTCATGATAATTAACTCAACTATCTGTTTACTATCTATACTATCCATTGATTATATCTGATTCAGATCAAAGATTGACCCATCTTCTTTTCAATTATATCACTTTTTTCCCAAAAAAACTTGAAAAAAAATTAATTACTGAATTTAACTGAAAATTAAATTTTTGGCAGTAAATCTATTATTGACTTTTTCAAAATTTATAACTTGTGTGTTTCTTTTGAATTAGTGGTTCAAACCTGGTTTTTAGTTTTTGATGTTATTTCTGAATTTTTGGGTGGCAGGCAGTATATCTTTCAGGTCATTATACTCTTATTTACATTTTTCTATTTGTTTATGTTTTCTTTTTATGATCTTAATGTATTTACATCACAGAGGTTCCTCCACCCAGAGGTCGCCGGCAATCAGAACCAGCGAATAAACCGAATAGTATGTAGACAGATTGATTGATTGAAGTCACCACTGTGAGATTTTGGTTACCATTTGAGCACCATAAATTAATTCAAAAAAACTACACCACCAAATATATCAAACTCACAAAAATCACTTTGTATAGATTGTTTGCATGTCGCATCATACTTCTCATAATCCATTTTTTGGTTCGCCATCTTTGTAGGTTAATTAAAGAATAGAAAGTGGGAATAGTATTTGTCTTCCCAATGCTACAAATAAATGTACAGTATATTTTGGAAAACCATGAATTATTTAGTGTGTGCCACTAGATTCGTAATGTATGTTTGTTGTACAGCAAGCCTAGGCCTATCTAGGTACCAGTCCGTAAAATGTAATGTTAGATTTATACATTTATGAACACCGCAGTCTCAAAGCGCTCAAATTGGGATATAATTGCACTGTTATTGGGTGTGCACATCATTATAGAAAGGAAAGAAAATAGATGATTAATTATGCCAGGGTAAGTGTATACTGTTACTGGATTGCAGTATGCTACTAGCCAAAAAAAAAAATTGCGTCTCATAATGGTTGCTACAATGAGAACCATATCCTTTAGGTCAGACTCTTACTAACGGAGAAAATAAATAAAGAGTTAAGTCTAAATCTAACTTTATTGTTATCTTATCAATTCAAAGCCCCTTTATCTTGTCTATTAACTATGGAAGGACAGTAATTATTAAATCAGTGTTTTACTATCATCACATTCATAATGATGTGAACAGTCAACAGCGGCCTGTTGAAACCCATGTTAACGATAATTTCTTAAACAGCTTATTTATATTTATGGTATTGTTAACCTACAAGATGGCGGATCGCATAGAATAATGAGAGAAGTGTGTGACTTTGATGCAAATGATCTATAAGCTGTAATATGCAGAAGCAAAGGGAGTAATGCACGGGGAACAAACATTGACAAACAACACTAGTTTAGCTCAGCTTGGAGTGGTATTCTAGGTTACTGGTTCGATTCCCACAGGTGTTTATATTTTTATGGTTCACTCTACAATGATTCTTTTTTTTTTTTTCAGCCATTCTCTTAGGAGTCATTCCGACTGAAATCAACCACCATGCCCCTGTGACCACATTGGATTTTTCTTTAAAAAAATCTTAAAATACCTTGATATCTCAAAAGAAAGAATCTGAAATTTCAGCTTCAATTTCCAAGCAGTTTTTATGACCTTTTGAAATTTAGGTACCACATCCCCTTTTTGGTAATGGCTCCTTTAACTTTGTACCGTTTTTTTTTAAAGCTATATCTAGTAGTATTAGCATATTCATCACCTGTTTAATATTAACTCCCTTACTTAAAAGAATGATAAGACATGGCCCTTTGAAATAGTAAAAATCTAATATCGCATAATGGTTCGGGGGATATTTGGGGGCACATGACATTCTAATGAAATATGCTACCCAAATTTGAATAGTATTAATTGGAAGAGTGGCCAAATATCAGTCTATGTAGCAATTTACAACTTTTTATCTATGAAGTTCCAGAAGATAATAGCTCCATAAAAACCGTACAAAGTAAAAGGAGCCATTGCCGAAATGAAAGATGGGGTGTGGAACCTAAATTTTTTTAATCTCTGGCTGATTTGAGCCGGAATGTCAGCTCTGTAACATTAATTTCTAACGTCAACACATAGAGTACTTGTTTACTAATATTACATTAACTTCTATAATCATATTTAACACCTATTTCATTTTTATTTATTTTGACAAAATAAAACATGCAAGACGTATTAAAGCTAACTCAGACACTGTCGTATTCTGAGCGCATTTATTGTCGGGTGCAGTCTTAAGGTTGTTGTGAGAATGCAACATTTCCGACGCAGACCTATCACGCCAACAAAAACCATGTTGGGCTTTAACAAGCACATCATGATAGAAAAATAGAATGATTAAAAAAAAAATTTATCTTAGGAGTGGACCCAGAATGCCAATCAAGGATGGAGGGTACAGAGGTCTCTTTACCTGTTGTAGAGGCCAGAGAGATGCTTCTAGGAGTATGTAGAGTTTTAGCTATTTTAATTTCTAAATGATTTCAAACTCATTAGAAAAAGCAGCTCTTTGCCACCCCTGCAACTGGGTCTGGCATGGTTGGAAGTAAAGTGTCAAATAGTTTCATACAGTTACATAATTGCATTGAATTACCATATTTATTTGAAAAAAAACGTGTCCCCCCCTTCCCCGGATGTTTATTGTTGAGAAGGGGTTTTTTTGGGGGGGTGGGAGAGAGACGTTTATTCGAGGAGGAAATTTTTTTTGGTGTAAAACTGATATGTATATATTCAAATGAATGCCCCTGTAATTTCACTGTAAATGTGGAACTACACATAAATAATGTGTTATTGTCTGAGGCTGTTTGGCGCATGGAGGCGGTTTTGTGCAGCAGGAACGGTTTGGTTTCCCAACCTGGAGGTCGCAGTTTCAATCTCTTGCTGTACATTTTGCTTGTGTCCTTGAGCAAGGCACTTTATAAATGGGTACCTGGTGGGGTTGTCTGCTCCTGCGCTGATTTCTAACAGCAACACTTAATTATTATTGCTTATTATTACTATTGGAATATGAAGTAAAGCGTAGCTTTATTAAGTATATCATCACACTGAAGTAGATAGATGTGTATAAGAGACAGGGCATTTATTTGAAGGATGCGTTTATTCAAAACAGGGCATTATTCGAATAAATGTGGTATATTACAGTTTTGTTTTAGGCTTTTCAATTTTTTTCATTTCATTTAATAAGTAGCTGACAATATGATTGTTTCATCATATTTAGCCATCTTTAATACATAAAGTTTTGATTTAAGTATTATATTTTCTTACATATTATTGAATAGTATTAATAAGTAATTAGTTTGAAGTGGTACTTAAATTCAGTTTACATCATTGCACCTCTTTGCATGATGAATATAGCTGCACATGTAAGTTGACCTTTTTCATAACAATTTATGATAATGACCATTTTTTTTTTCTTCTGCCAATTGCACAAAGTTTCTGGAGGGACTTTATCCTTGACTAAAAATACACCACCTTGCTCAAGGTATACTCCATGACTACCGTCTTAAGCAGGGGTTTAGCCAGAAAAACGAAATAGGCATTCCAAAATATGCTTTAGTTTAATCCAACATTCGATAAATTTGAAGAATATAAAGAATTTGCTAAAGTAGACCAGGCCCAACTAGGCTAGGCCGAGCTGAGTAGGCCAAGCCGTCACAGTTAAAGTGGCCATCCTAAATAATTTTTGGCCGCCCAAAAGACGGCCGGATGGCTCACTGGCTAAGCCCTTGGTCTTAAGTGACCTCATTTACTTTAGGTTCCTTTTTCGTACCAGCTTATTTTTTATATTTACCATTGAACAGCATGAGTTTTAAATCAATTATGTGTTCATGTTTCTTGCGTATAGTGATGACAAGCTTGACGCGGAGTGCCACGCGGCCCGCAACCTCACATCATCAAACCCTAAGGACAGGTTTGTCACATTTCAATTCATGGCACGGAGGCCAGGCGCCATGCACTACCGTTGATACAATGCATGACTTTAGTCGTATCTCAATATCTGACACTCAGGGAAGAGCAACTGTTAACAACGTGGGTGCGCCCCCAACGCCACCCGCTAATACGACTGATGATAACTATCTGGAAGTGAGTTGGATTGGATAATTTGCTATGGCTCATGAATTGCAGTCAAAGAAAAGTGAATTTCTGGCAGAGCTTTAGCAAATCTTTTCAGCTGACCAAGTTTGAGGGCAAATTCATGCGTAAATCTCTACAAATGTATTTTAATAATTATAGCCTGGTTTCCTTAAAATCGCAGTGTTTTCAGTTCAATCGTACTTTGTAGTAGTCTCTGACGTAATTGGTAAGACTCCCTGATTCAACCGACCAATCAGCATTACTGAAAGCTGTCGGCAATAGCGTGTAGCGATTATGTGGAAACCAAGCTTTAAATTATTCTTTCCAAGATTGTTTTTCAATGATGATCACTCTTGGAACAGGATTGGAAATTGTTCACTTGTTATGAATTGCCATCAAGTTGGTTTCGCTTCCCCTTAACACCTAACAGCGATTCAAAATTTTGCTTTTAACAACTAACAAATGCAAAATAATTTAAAAACAAAGCATGCAATGTGCTAATGCTGTTAGTTTCTATTACGATAAGTACTTATTATCATTTTTATTGTAATTATTATTGCTTATTATTACTATTGGAATATGAAGTAAAGCGTAGCTTTATTAAGTATATCATCACACTGAAGTAGATTATTATAGTTATTTATTATACTATTATTTTATTACTATGTTGTTTTTGTTATTTGTATTTTCTTGTTATTTATTATATTATTTTTGTATTACCATATTACTTTTGTTTGTTTATTATTACTATTGGAATATGAAGTAAAGCGTAGTTTTATTAAGTAGATTATCACATCGAAGTAGATTATTATTGTTATTTATTATACTGTAATTTTTTTATTACCATTTTTTTTTTTGTTATTTATATTTTTGATATTTATTGTATTATTATTTTTTTTAACTAACAATATTGCATTTTGAGACAAAAAATAATAATTTTAACCAAAGAATGTATAATCTCTTGCTTGAAATGATAACCTTACAAATTTTTGTGGGTGCTGATGAAGTCGGAAAAGGTCGTTTAGATAGGATGCAATAATTTGTGATTCCTTTGCAAAGTATTAACAGGAAAACACAAATAAGACAAAAAACTGATGATTAATTCTGATGCATGTTGCTGTATACATACTTAAAAAATGGTGCGGGGAAGAAGGAGGCTCAACCAAAACATAAAAATGAAAATATGTATTGAAAAAACCCCCAAATTTATAACAAAACCTTAAATTGATTTTAATCACTAGATTTACAGTACTCACTACTGAAATAATAATAGAATCTTTAATAGAAAAAACTGATAAATCAAATACCTTTTTCAGATGAAATATTATAATTATTGAAAAATATATTTAGTAGAATGGTATCTTGATGACTACAGTAACACATTTTATGTAAATGTCTGTCACATACATTAAAGATAACACATAGTGCAACTATGAAAGTTGACCTCCAATCTCTGCTTATAATATATGTTTGTTTTTCTTAAATGGATATTACCTAGGACAAGTATTAATCTTAACCAATGGTGGAATGTAGGGTGAGGTGGTGTAGCTGTGCATAATGAAACGTTTCTTATTTAGTTGAACGTTAGAGCTCTGGTCTTCCTCACTTAAAGAAATATTGGCAAATTTCAAACCACCCGCCTATACCTATACAAAATAAATAAAGCATTCCAGATTCCACCTGGATGGGCTCATTTTCCCACAAGCACAGCATTCCAGATATACTACTGTACCAACTTGTTAGGGCTGAAAAATAGCATTCAAAGCCTGTCAATGCTATGTTTCAGCCCTAAGTATGGTTCTGTTGCTATGAAACATTGATTGGAACATTTGGAATGGTTTGTGTAGAAGTGCTTCATGCAATAATGCAGCTATTGTTTGCCAAAGCATAAGCTATTTTATTTAAGAAAAAGAATAATAATAAATGAAAAAATAAATATATATATATATATTTGCGTACCGGAGAAGAAATTAAGAGGTGTTGTTACCGGGGCCGGAGGAAGGGGTAGGGTTCTGAGGCTTTGCACCCCCAGTAAGGTAGTTTTCACTAGTAGTAGCATCCCCTACCAACACAGAACAGGGGCAGATGCGCATGTTTCCAAGCTAACGTTAAGGTTCCCCCGATTTATGTATCTTAGCTAAATGATTCATGGCACACTCGTGGGTATTGACTTATTTGACTGCTGCATATAGTCTTGGCACACCACATCCTCTCCCATCCAGCAAACAGGATCCGCCACTGTAGAGCTTATTTATCTAATAAAAGTCGAAAAAAACAATAGAAACTAGCCTATTCTTTGCGTGCCTAGGCCTAACTTATAGGCCTGGCCCCTAGCCTAACTAGGCCCCTGGCCTAACTTGGCACACTGGCCTATAACTTGGCCCTGACCTAACTAGCCGGCCCCTGGTCTAACTAGGCCCTTAGCCTGCCAATATAGGCCCCTATCATCAATTGAAATCTGATTAATTTTATAATGAATTTTATACAATAGAAATCCATGGTACAACCGGTCCGGGTTTGGATTTTGACACCATTGACCTATCATACTCCTAGCACTAGTGAATACACTATCCTCCTCGGTACACATGGTATTTGACAGTTTGATCAAGGCAATTAAACAGAAGGACGCACATCTCGAGACATCAAAGGTTATAACTCTGGCATCGACATTCTATGCGCACGTGCGTCCCTACACGCTGAACGTCACAAAAACCATAGCAACCAGACCATAAACCGTCAGCGTACGTGACGATTTACCCATGCGCGTGTTAGTTGCCATGATAATCAAGCGTCGTGCGGTGATTACAAAGGCCTAATGATATTTTGCACTAACATTAGATTGAAATATATTCTTCATTTCAACATTAATTTTAATTGTGGTGAATTGTCGTTCATGAAACTCACTTCGCAGAAAAAATTAATAAATGTTCTGTATATACTTAAATGTTCGTTTTCGGCACCTTATGCTAACATTGTCAAAATGACAGATTAATGTTACATAAGAACATGAAATTTTATAAAATTTGTAAATTTTAAATTGTTATAACTTTTCATTTCCTTGGTCAATTTTCACAAATCAAATTGCAGTTTATAGAAGCATTTAACAAGTTCGCGGTAAAAAAAAATCAGATGTAACAGACATTGCGAAGTACCCAAAACTAATAAAATAAAAACTAACACCATAAAACGAATGGCACGCATAGACTAATAATTGACGGCTGTACTCGCAACTAGTATCGGATTGTCGATGCCACAGTAAAGATCAAAGGACTGTACGCACGTGCTATGTTCGAGAGCGGAGATGTGCGTCCTTCTTGGTTTGATCGTTATCATTGTGAAGATAGGCTGTATAGTATTAGAAACGTCATTCTTAATACCCTTTCTATGGAACGCCAACTAGGTCAATTATAATGTAAAATCTGCATAACATTACTAAATGTCGATGTTTTTGTTATTCTGTAGAAACAGGGAGATCATAAAAACATATTTTTGAAATTTTTAGGGTATTAGGCTAATACCTTAATACCCATTCCGCTACGCCCCTATGTATATGTATATGTATATATATATATATATATATATATATATATATATATATATATTAACAACTGGAGAAAACATAATATAAATGATAAAGTTGTTCTTGAAACTGTTAGAGGCTTTATTTGGCCACAATCAAACTAAGTATATGGGAGACCCCAAGCTAATTATGTCATTCGAATACAGCTTTTGCTTACCAATCTATTTTATAGAGAATCATGAAACAACCTAGAGAAGACCCCTAGCATGTTTTATAAATGAATTTGAATGAAATAGAGTTTTCTAAAATGATATAGAATCTTGGAAAATTTGATCTAACTACTAATTGGTCTAACTATCTATTTACACTAACAGATGGGTATATGTTGGGCTTAAATTTTATTTGCATAATACTATTATGCATCTATCAATGCATGAATATTTCATTTTATCTCATCTGATTTATGGTCAAAATATACAGTGCACTAATAAAAATATGTGCATGGTACGTATATCATACTGCAGTATAACTGTAGCTTAGTAGTAAACAACCTTGCATTTGGTCCTGGGTTTAAATATTTCAAAACACAAGGACATATTTTATTTTAAATGTACATTTATGTATACAACAGATCTAATATGTATATATCATATTCTATGTATCATATTGACCCAACAAATTTGATTTTCAGATCACATGTATATTATATTTGCAACATTTGTAGTTTGATGGTTTATAAATGCACAATCAACAAGTAGAAAACTAACATAATATGGCATACTAGCTTGAACCGCTAGCAAATATGAAAATTTAGAGCATAGAAAAAATAATTGCATACCTGTAGATGACATTTATTTGTAGTGGTACACATATGACATGATTATCCACATACACTGTAGTTAGCAATGAAAATGTCTTGACGACAATGTTAAAGTAAAATGAGTGAGCCATACATACTAATCTGATGAAAATGTGGAGGATTGTAGTAGACCAGGTGGAAAATGGAAATTTTTGGGCGAAGCGGGAAATTTTGGTGCATGATTTTCTCAGTCGATTTTGGATCTACAGGTTATTATTCCACTGGGCAACATTTATTTGCCAGTGGGAAATCTTACTTTTAGTGGTGGCAATGTGTTTTTGACTTTTTAAACTGTAGTACAGACACACAAATTAATGTCCTATGTAAAATATAATAGGACTTACGGGCAATATATTAATATTTGGTGAACATTTTGGCAGCCATCTTGGATTTCTCTAATGACCCAAGGGTAACAAACTGGAATATCAATCTGGACCACTCATAGATCCGAAATCCACTGAGAAAAATCATGCACCAAATTTTGCATACCTAACCCCCCACACAAACTATAGTATTTTAAATTTCTTTGAATGTCCATCAAGTCAGTGATAATTCAAGTAGGAAAATTTCATATCAAAAACAGTTCGCAACTGGACAATGCATGTTCCATCCGAAAATGAATCTGAGCCTTCTGTCTCAACTAGGGCATTTGGCATGATGAGAAGAGAAGGTATGATAAACTTCAGGCTGGTGTTGTTTTGGGTATTTTTTAATATACCTGCCAACTTTGCTGGCATCTGATGCATGAGACAAAAACTTTTAATTTCTAAAAACTTACAATTACGTAAATTAATTATGTAAAAGTCACAAAATAGAGCTCCCTCTATTTTTTTTTTTAATTGTAGAGATTGAACTGCTACTGATTACAGTCGTCGGTCGGTAAAGCTTCGTTAATAAATTTATATGGCCTGTATTCACATTTTAATGAAGAATTTACATAATTTTTATGAATTTTAGGGTATAATCGGCCTATGCATTTTATGTAGGCGTGAGACGTAAAAAATTGAGACTCATGAGTGAGATTCGCCAATTATGCGTGCGAGTTATCAGGTGTACATTATTACTACAATCCTCCATATTTGTTATTAACAATGAAGCATTAATGCTTTTAAGGCTTATCTCATGGTTATTAATATTAATAAGACATAATGTAAAGTAATTACAACAAATTATCATATTGAAAATTGCTTTATTAATTTTGTTTCAGATGGTGACACCGAGCTCTCTCAAATCCTAAAGAAGTTTAACATCAAAAGCTCATGAAGAAAATGATGAATAATCTGGATAGTGATTATCCTTGGTCAGAGGTTAAAGTTCATTGGGATTTCTATTTCAGCATCAAGTCAATTTAAAACATTGAAATCAATTTAAAATGTGTCAAGCACTTTCTTGTGAGAAGTCATTAGTGAAACTACCCCTTCATTATACAGTGTTAATTGATTGCTAAAGTTTTTTTTCATTATATCAGTACAGTAACACTTTTTGTTATGAAAATTGATGTGGAGACAGCTATGATGCAACAACAGATTTAAGGTTGATATATGGTTAAAGCATGATGATAATGTTATAGATTTAAGAATTGATGTTGCCATGGTTATAGATCATGAATTGATGTTGCCATGGTTATCAGGGATTGAGGTTTGGTGTTGTCAAGGCTACAGTTGCTATGTCACATTACAAAACAGGTGAATTTTATATTTCCTTATTAAGGAACGAGTGTGTAAGATTGTAGTTAAGATATTCTGCAGTTTGTGGCTTTCGTTAATTAGGAGATTACTCAATGGATCCTTTACAGGGTATATCTTGACAATGTAAGCCACAAAACATTTAACATCTGTCAATATCTGCAACTCTTGTTCATGAAATTGCCAAATCTTCAATATAACAGTAGAATTTAGTTATTTATTCTAAGTGACATTGAAAAAAAATAAGGCAATTTACCATTCAATAGTATGTAACCTAGTACTGGTGGCTGGAGCAAAGCTGCCTAACAGGGTATCTGATGATTCCCAGCAGAGGCCAATGGGTAGACAGGGTCCAAAGACGAAGATTTATTGGGGTTTTTTTTTGTTTTTTTTTTTTGGTTTTTTTGGGGGGGGGGTGTGTGTGTGTGCAGGTGGCTAATCCTTGTGGAACTCAGAGACAATGGGCAATTTTTTAAGCTGTTCTGTGATCTATTAGAATGTATTATAAAAATTGCTTTTAGTTTGGCAAGTAGTGGCCAATAGAGGCTTGATTTTCCCTCCCCCTGCTGACTATGCCACGGCCCCAGTGTCAAGCCTTACTAGGAGCATATTAGTTAACCTAATAGCAGTACAAATATAGTGAAAATGTCTGTAAGACTAATGTATATAGAACTGTTGAGTGTGTGTATATGTAGGAGAGTGACAAGGGATATTAATTTGAACTGTGATGGTTATATTTTAATTCGATTTTAATTGATATAATTCAAAGGAGGATGTTAAAAGTGTGATAGGAAATGAACAATGAAATGATTTCTCCTGTCATCTAAAATGACCGAGAACACATTGCCAAGCAATATTCCTTTGTAAATATAGTAAATATTGAATCTTGTACGTTAGCTCGCAAGACTATCTCATATATTTTAGTCTTTGGAAAATGGTGTTCTCATTCTTTCTTTCTTTGTTGCGAGTCTATTCCATGGGAAGTTTCAATTATTCAATTAATTTTTTTTAAATAACAAAATATAAGTTTCTGTGCACTTACATATGTGCCCTGGGGGGAGTAGTTAAATGCGAAAGTAAGCCATTGAGCATCCTGCACTAAAAATAGCATTTAAAATTCAAACAAACAGGATGGTAATAATAATCAATTTAAGATTCATGAGAATATTATTTTTTTTTAAATATCATTTTAAATTTAATCTTGAAAGCATATTATATTATATTAAATAATATACGAGGAATGATTTACAGTAGCAAGGCTTTGGAGTCAAGTGAAGTACAATCATGTTGCTTGATCCTTTGGCCAAAACACTTTACGGTGCATAAATTGGCACCTGTTTGGATGTGTATGCTTTAAAATGAAATTGCTCTTTTTGAATTAAAATGCACAACTTGGAATACTTCCCAGAAAGAGTTGATCGTTGAGTATGGTTGATTACATATTCAACAATCAAAAAAATGGTGCTGTAAATTGATAAATAAAATAATGTAAAAGAGGAAGTTCCGGATATGTGAATTTTTGTTAATGAATCAAAAATGCATATTGTTACTGTTTCCTTGTCATACCCCTCGCAGGAACAATTATCATTCCCACGGTTGTTCCACTACTCTTGCTTCTTGCATTCCAGTACTATCCATATCCTCTCCTCTTCCTGTTTTGCTCATGTTTTACAGTCATGGTTTGTGTCATGTAAATTTGTAATATATAGGCCTAAATGCAATAAAGTTTTAAAAGGAATTTGTATTATTTCCCAGAGGGCGCTATTCTCATCTTAGGCTGTTTCTTGTTATGAGGAATTGATTTTTAAGCTGAAAAATGTTCTTATTGATAATTTTTAATCAATGTAAGCAAGATACTTAAGTGTAAATATTGTTTATAAACATTTTTTTATGGAGCAGTCATAGGTTTTGAATAAGTAACAACCTATATTGTAGATGAATGTGTGTATAATTTAAAGTTTAAAAATTTAATTTATGCAAGTTACAAATGTTTTAAACCCAGTTGTAAAATTAAAGTATAATGCAATTACTGTATAATTCTTCATTTAATTTAACAATACAAGAGCACCATTTTGTACATAGGCTATATGGTTGTAGTAGGTACATAAAATTATATAATAATCAATATAGATAGATATTAGTGAAAGTGATACAACTGTATTTTCAAATAAACAAGACAAAAACAAAAGCTGCTTAGCTAGTATGTTTATTTGTGGCCAACAATTTTTGTAATTTTATTTGTGGGAACATGTATACATCAACTTCAAGCTACCTGACAGACATTATGGATTGAAGAGCTATATACCTGTTTAAAACAGGTACAGAATCATGAATTATTCATGAATTATTTTAATACAAGCCAACAGAAATATAAAAATGTTCATCTTAACTAAATTAGCAAAAACAAACTTCATAGACAATTTTTGGAATAACTTGTACGTGATTATTTTCATCCTCTTCAAATTTAAAACTTAAATTTGTTCAGTACCCTTAGCCATAAAATTCTAAAGAAAATCCAAATCAATTGCATAATACTTTGCATTGAAATATTTCAGTAATTTTTGTCTCAAGAAAACTATGTAACACAGTGGTAAGGTTCTCAAATCCACTGCTGGTTTCATTACACTTTTATCCTTTTAGATGTACCACTGACAAAAAAAATTTTGTTTCCACAAAATTTATATTAAATCAAAGTAGTAAAAAACTATAATTATTCTTATTATATAGATCAGAAATATATAATATATAGTGGCTCTGAGTTGTTAAGTTAGTTGGATCAGTACAGGACGCTCTAATTGCAACCATTTTCTGATACTAAAACATTGTGGTGCATATATTATTATGTCACTGTATATAGACTATGAAATGACAGGTGTACACATGAACTATTGCTACTATTTTCTACATACATTTTTAGGTGACCAAGGTTCAACGTGTAGCAGGCTTAAAACAGTTTTATTTCATGGGATGGCACACCAGGAAAGGAGTTGTTTTCTACTAATTTGCATGAGCATTCATGATATTGTAAGGCTAACTAATGGGTGAACATGCCAACACCTCTCCCGACACAATGGCCAAGGCAGTACCATCTGGTTAAAAATAACGAATAGCCTTGACAGTCGTATATTACTACTATATTTATCACATTTAAACTTTCCACATGAGTATACACAACGGCAGCACAAATGAAAAGCTAACTGTGTACGTATGTGAAGCTTTGTTTGATGTAGACTTATCATTTCATCAACTGTTTACAGTACATAAATATCAATCTGTGCCAGATTAGATTAAAAAGGATTTTGAATATTTCATCCTGTATTTCCCCTTCTTAAATTGCACAATGTAAACATTATTATCATTTGATTGAAAGAAACAAAAAAAACTCAAAAATTAAATGCTGAATTCCCTTCATTGGGAATGCACTCCCTGTCTTTTATGTGGTTGGAGAAAAAGGTTAAACGCCAAAATAGTATCTGACTGGAGGAGCTGTTAAGTCTTCTTCGTCGTCTTCATTTGGTGGTTCAAATCCAACGACAAGATCAAAATACTCGTCACCACTGGCAGGCTTTAATAAGCTGAGCATTCTGGGTAAAAAAGTTAATTATTTTTAAATCTGCTAAATTATATGGTTATCAAATGAAGCTAGAAAAGTGGAAAATAGGTGTTTTTAAGTTGCACAGATGATACCTCAAAGACTGGTTCAAATTTGTGCAGAAAATTGCTAGGAAAACAGGTGCGCAAAATCGCAACTACTGAATAATACATTGGTGATTTATGAAAATTAGGTCAAAACCTAATTTTTGGCAAAATCTGCATAGAAATCAGCCCTTATTTTCTGAACTTGTGCGGACAAATATCAGGGCCTAATTTTTGTGCAGAGGATATATTCACTGCGCAGGCTGGCCTTTACAGTCGGGAATAGGTGGAATAGCTCTGGTTTGGTGGTTAAGTGCACACCTTCTGAGCCCAGAGTTCTGGGTTAATATCCTACTATTAATTTTTCTCACAACTAAAGACAAGTGAACATATGATTAATTAACATTCTTTATATTATTTATTTGTACAGTTTCATAAACTTTTGCACTAGTCTTTTTCATATACAATTAATATAACTCAACGTTGACTTACGTTTGTGGTAGTCTCTTCATATGTCCAGGCATGATGGGTACGTACACCATACGCACACCATGGACTAACATCGACAGGTCTAGGTTATACAAGCTCTGGAAAAAGTAACCAATGGATTGAGAAATTATATTACCAACATTTAAAGAATATTCTACACAATATTTGTATAACAATCTGCTTCTCTACCACCCAATTCAACTACACTGACCATGTACTACCTCCTTTACTATTACTACATGTATATTCATGAAATTATTTTTCATCATTACAGCATAATCCACTACTCTCTACCACATTATAAACATTATGGCTATGTTCTCACACGGCAGCTAACGATTATGAGGAGCCAGATCCTGCTAACCGTTAGCTGCCGTGCGTCCATGCGAGAAAATCCCGATCCGGATACCAACAATATGATGATCGAATCACTGGCCAATAAGAAACTGGAAATTGTAAACGCGTACATTTGATTGGTTGATGATAGAAACGCTCTCACCTTGCTTGCTAACTGTTAGCGGTATCCGGATACCGCTAACGGTTAGTGCTAACCGATCGGCCGTTCTCACGCAGGTGCTAACGCTCAGCGCTAACGGTTAGCTCCCAATCCGGATACAAGGGCTCTCGTGAGAACCAGGCTTCCATATCTATACAGGCTACGACCCTGTTTTCAACCACACACTATATATTACCCCCTCAACACACGTTATATACCTACATTTTTTTATTCCATATTATCCATTCTACCATGACACTGGCCATCTATTAATTCTCTACTGGCCCACAAATTTTATATTTACACAATTCACTTTGACCCCTCTATCACATGTTAACACCTACTGCTCTTTATCTCTACTACATCAGGTGGCTGAGTAGTAAGGCAGAGCACTGCAAAACTACAGCCTTCACAATGGTGCTGGTTCAAAAATGCCATGCTCAGGGTTTGACTGGTAGAACCATAACTAAATCATAATGTGTCAGATTATTTAGTTTAAGCAAAATACTTGCTTAACAATACACTGCACTGCTACTAACCTTAAAATGATTGGCGAAATCTTGTAAAGTAAAATCTTTGTTTCCTTTGACAGTCCACCTATCCCAGCATGTGAATTTCAAACCAGGTTTGATTTGTGTCGCCATAGCTTGGCCAGGCTCAGAGAACATGATCAAAGGCAGTCCTAGATTCATGAAACAATTCTTGTAATGCTCTATTGGGGCTGCCTTAACAACTTTAACCAGTTCAAGTGTCACCTACAAATAAAAATGAATCAAAAGCTGTCAGACATACAGTATATCAAAATACAGCAGTTGTAGATCAGTGGTGGTTCCAGAAATATGCTGAGTAGTGATTTCTGACAGGGGATCCAACATTTCTAACAGGGGGTTCAGAACATAGGGGCTGCATATAGGTGAAGAAAATGTTACGATTATGATAGTAATCATTCTACTTAAACATCACTGCTTCTAATTCTTCCAGCAGAAAATAGAAGATTTATACTCAAGATTGTTGAAAACCCTGGTAAAAACTTCATTGCCTACACTATTTGACTTACCAAGCCAGAAACGGCAGCTGTCGTGGTTGCTATTGCCGGGACAATTCTGCGTAATTACAAATGCCCATGTGACCTAGTTATTGTGAGATGATTTGAATATGATACAAATGATTCAAGATATTTTTTTACACATGGTCTGCAGTGAGAGACAAGTAAAAATTGTCTAGAAATGACATAAGATTGAGATGGTTATTGTATATAAAGAAATACAATATCCTATCTATTAAAATAGACTAACCTTTGACTTTGGAATGAATTCTGGTACTTGTACTGATCGGATAATGCTAATCACGTTGGTATGTTCCAAATCTTGGCCAGAGACAGGAATATTACTTATGAATGCACAAAGACGAGCAACGCTTATCACAAATGATGTATGTCTGCAGAAATGCAAAATGTGAAGATATTTGTTACTATGAAAAAATTAAATTTAATTAAATACGTTCTTCCAATCAACAACTCCTCTATATACACAGACTGGGGTCTTTTGGAAAAAGAGCTTTCACATGTGCTGCACCTTGTCTGTCGAATTCTCTTTTCCTCAAGACTTGAGGATGTCCCAATCTGTTGACAATTTCAAGAATAGTCTAAAGAGTTTGCTGTTTGAAAATTATTGATGGATTTTGGAGCTATATAAATTCCATGATTGACTGATGATTGATTGATTGATAATTGACAACTGGCACACAAACCAATATAAGGGCAACTAATAAGTTGAGAGCAGCTTAGCTCAGTCGGCTAATCTGGTGGTAGCTACTGTGTGTGTGCTGAACCGTAGAGATCTCTAGGTCTCCGGAACAATTTTCATCTCTGCTCTCCTTGTGTTTCAGCTGGAGGGCTGAAGTGCATGTACACTCTTCGGAAAAGAGTAGGGGATTGTCTCTCGGGGTACTGCCCAATTACCACCAGAAGGACCCCTCTGGAAATAAATCATCTTCTAGACTTTCATGGGTTATCCTTGGTGTTTACACCGAATAAATCCATCCATAAACAATCTCTAATTTTGCAGCCAATACTAGTCGCTGCCCATATTTAGTATTAATTTCACTAGACAATATATTAGTAGGGCTAACACCAACTAAGACTATGGCCTGGGGCCTAAGGTTTGATCATCGCAACTTTGTCACCTTCCTGGTATCTGACAACATTTGAACCCACGACCTTGTAATTGGAAAGTGAGCATTTTAACGACCAAGCTATTCAACTCCACTCAATATCGTTTTATTGAAATTGAGTTTTCAACCCCTGGACAATCTGATCACATTAAAACAATTTAACAGATGGAAATAATTGCAGAGTTATTCTGGAAACACAATGTTATTAATTGAATAAAGGGTGAAAGAAGTGAGACATAGAAATGATGAACTTACAAATCATTTGTCTCATCGAAAACTTGCGGTGTTGGTGGCCGCTTGGGTGACTGCCAGAAAGGTGCTGAAAAACACATTAACTTGTTATTCTACACACTACAGCACAGAATTGAATCACATGGAACAAACATTAACACACTGGATTATGGAATTAGATGTTTAATTATTCACAGTTTCGTCAGTTTCATGTCATATTTTGATGTTTCATCCCAAGAAAAAAGGTGGTTTGATTTGACAAACATGATTGAATATTTAACTTGTTTGTATTACTAAAAATATACTGTCTGTGTTTGGGTACAAAAACCTTTGGAAGGTACAGACATAAACATAATGGTTATTTATACAATTGCATAGAAATTACATTGCTTGTATATATAGTTATCTACACTGAAAATTTCTCATACCTTTGAAAGTAAAGTAGGAGCATTAAGTTCCACCTCACTCCCTCACCCCCTCCTCCCACAAATAAAAAAAGGTTAAGCACCTATTTCAAGCATCAGAATATGTTGTAACATGGTTTGTTGCTTGCCCACAGGTCCCAGGTTAGCCATATTGTAAATATTTTATGATGTTTAAATATTTAAGATTATTAAGACTTACTTCCGTCCTGCAGCAAACTATCCCTAGGAAATATATGCAGAAGAGTTCGTGCCTACCAAAAAAATGAGAAAAAAAACTAGTTACATTGTTTCAATTGTGAAATAATACAAAATAGAAATACATTTTTATGTACATGTCTTCAGTCACAGAAGTGACAATTTACAATGGAATATTCCACCAACTTATTACATCTGGAACTGCTTTTCTTCAATTACTGTATACTTCTTATCTCATATGTGTATATATTTTTATTTTTTAAATTGTAGTGAGAGGCAGTATTTTCCAGGCCTGGGAAAAAATGTTTGTGTCTACGACCATGAAAATTGTCTTGATAAAATGCTTCCAGCACCAAATGTACACTATAAATCCCAGCAGTTTAGATTTTGGAATTTTTTTCCTTTCATTCCTTTATTCATTCATTCATTCATTCCAGAAAAGTACAGAAGCACAACATGAACTGTGGAAATGCCACATGATCACCCGGAAGGAATCCAATAGCAAAAAAATCCCTTTCATGGGAAAATGCTGAACGAATAATTATAGTAAACTTTTTATCTCGTGTGTGTATTTTTGAAAATGTATTGAGGCAATGTTTTCCCTTGCTTCTCAATTATCGGTGGCTCCAAATATTTGCCAACAAGGGGAACAACTAGTCCAACAGGGGTTCAGAATGACAGGATGGCCTACAACCTTGAAATAAAATTCCGGATGGGGTTCATGGGGGGGGGGAGAGAGAAGATTTTAGGTTTAAAATGGCCCAAAATTATGTTAGAAAAAAATCTCTCCCCCCCCCACCCCACAAACTCCTGACTCCCCACCGGCATTACTGCTGGGGTCAAGAAAGGAGCGTTCATGTTGTGGCTCTGTTCCAAGCACTATACACAACAATCATATCGTCAAGTTTTAGAACTAAATTGACAAGTATGACTGAGTATGTATGAACTCGTGTATGGACTAGAAGAAGATTGCTGCTTATCTCTTTGAAAGGTAAAACACATGATATTTTTTAACTTGAAACTGAGCTACTCTATGTATTAATTGAATTCTTTAGTGTTTTTTCCTATTGTACAAAAAACAGGGTATATATTTTATCAAATCTATCTGTAATTATAGACACACGATTTTACAAGTGCAATTCTTTAAAAAAAAATGTTTACTATTTACCTTGTGATTGAAATATTTTTCAAACTTTTTCCTGCCAGTAGCGATGCATTCATTCCAATTTGTTGGTCGATATCCCAGAAATTTAACCACTTGTATAACCCCTTCAGGTTGTTCTCCTGCTTCTAGTTTCTAAGGTCAGATGAAAATATTTACATGTGCTATATCAATTTATAATTACAGGGACAAAAACAATTATATAAACAATCATCTAAAAAATATACATATTATATTATAAATCATGTAATAGGGAAACAGCTTCATTAATAAAGATGTAAAGATAATTTTTTTTTTTTGGATGTATCGTCCCCATCACGGTTAGAATGCAAGACCCTCTAATTACTAATGCAGATTACAAGTCTTATTCTCCACCAACAGAATACTTTCCTCACAAACTAAACAGATATATAAATATTAGACTAGTTCTTATATGCTGGTATACAGAAACAAACATTAAGCAGTATGCTATAGGAGCATCAACATTTTTCAAAATAATATTTTAAAAATGGCCAAACTATAATTTACCTGTAGAACAGTTACTGCATTACCATTTTCTATCCAAAATTTGTTGAATGTTGTTGGTTTGATAGAGAAGAAACTAGCAAACTAGAGAGAAATAAAACATAAACAAATGTAATATTATTACTGTATTTCATTTTTGTCTATTAGAAACATTAGACTTTTGCGCAACTGGGGCATTTCTTTCTGTTGACAATAGTTTCGATGATTTAAATTCTAGATTTTTTGTGTGATTAAACAGGCAGTTGAATATAGAAGTTTCATCAAATATGGTGATATAACCATGCCCACTTCAAAGTAAAAAGAAATTATAACTTCATAAATAAATTAAATTATTTTTTTAAGTAACCAAGCCAATGTCAAACGAAGGAGGGGAAATTTGTTATGTCACATACTTAGACTGGACAAAAAAAGCCACACCCAACATGTCCTAAAATGGTAACCGGAAGGTAAGAGAAGTACTGTAGGGGAAAACCAAAATCAACTTGGAGAAGTACAGAAAAACCTGGAATGAGCTAAACTGGTTGGCACAAGACCGTCCAAGTTAGAGATTATGTGTCTATGAAGAGGATTAAGGTAAGGTAATCATGCCCACTTAAAAATAAAAAAGATATTATAACATAATAAATAAAGTAAAATACATTATTTATCTTTAAGTTAAACCATAATCATATTTTAAGTATGTATATTTAACCAGCTATAACTCAAATACCTGTTCATGGGTTGGGTTTAAAGTGCACCCTCACTAAATCATTATACAGCGTATACAAACAGTTGTTCTACTGGCTAAATACCAAATGCCTTAAGCTGAGCACTCAGTGCTTTCGACGGTCATCGGCAGGTGCAATTCTATGGAGAATGCAAGGCCGCGACGTGTGCGCAATGGATCCTTTTTAACGACTATACGTTCAGACTGCTACAAACAATCAGCAGACGTATAGCATAGCATCGTCTAGCGCTCACAGGGAACGGAGTTGGATTTGTCTTACGACGGATGTACAACCGTCATACGATGCTGTGAGTGTCCGACTTTATATATTTTAAAAAGTCTGTACCTTATCTCTAGCCCACTGTATTGTATGCTCAATGGTTGCTGGAAATGACTTCAGTGTGCAGTAAGGAACATCTTCATCTACCGGGTCCTGCTGGCTTCCATATGATTCAGTCATATTTGCAACGATGACCTGTACGTGACCTTTGGCACCCATAGTTCCTGACTCAAGTAAGGTCCGTTGGTTGGCTACACAACGGCTATAATATAAAATGGTTGATCTATGTGTCAGCTGAAGTTATTATAAATGATAACTTAATATTCACTAAGCTTGTTCTATTGGAATTACAATAAGAACACTAATTAAAATGCATTGGTGCCTGTAAGTCTCATAATATGAATATATTTACTAAGAACCACCCCTTCAGAAACTTACCGCCAAAATATAAAAGGATTATTCACGTTTTTAATGCTACCATCATAAAAGATGCCGATCATCAAATTCATTTAGAATTCAATTTTAAAGGCTCACATTGTATAGAACCACTCTGCTATATCCCAACTGTAAAATTTTATGTAACAAATAACTGTACATGTGATTTCAACATGTTATCAGCATGACATGTCATTATCATACCCATATATGGATATGATACGACACCATTAAGCCCACATGCACAGCATATTCAAGATCCAATGTGAGCTTCAAACGCATTGGAACTTGAACGGCTCTACAACATTCAAAACCTTTTCCGATCCCCAGGCACTCAATAAAGAACATACTTAATATAAGATATCGGATGCTATGTATATTCAGAATTATGCAGATGGTATTATTCAGTCAAAAAAATTGATACTCTAACATTGCACTGAAATTAATAAGAACACACTTCTCAAAGCTAGTTAAAGTTATTCACGGTGTTGTAAATCTTAAACCAGGTCACATCCAAAGTAATAATATACTTAAGTTTAATATTAAGGTCTTTTTTCCACGTGTTTTTTTACAGAAGCTTTACATATCGCTGACATAAGCAATATTGAAGTGAATTATGTATGTTAGGCTCTTTGATGCTATAAAGCGCTTAAACCATTAACGACATGTGGTATCCAATTGGCTATAGCCATGGCTAAAGCCAGATGAGGTGTTGCTTTTAATAAAGAATTTATGATGATCGAGGGCAGTACAACATGATGATGATGTTCACTTTAATGTGGACTCTATTCCAGTATCTACCTACAGTATGTAGAATTTGAAAATCAGCATTTGTTTTATTATGAGATATTTGCATTACAGAATATCAGACTTAGATTTCAGCAAATTTTTGTTGCTAGAAAGTTTGTATTGTTAAATTATAATTGTTTGCTGTAGTTGCTGTAGCTCTATCATCACATCTTAACCCCTAAATAACATAGAACAAACGTTACACCGAATAAAGAATGGGAGGCCATGATTTGACGTTTCAACCTTTATTGGGTCATCTTCCTGAAGTACCCAGTACACTATTACTGAAAATGACCCAATAAAGGTTGAAACGTCAAATCATGGCCTCCATTTCTGTATTCGGAGTAACGTTTGTTCTATGTTATTTAAACATAATCAGTACATCTGTTGGTTTTAACATCTAAGGTAGAATTTTATTTTCATTTTTATTATGATATTTTGATCTTTGTCTTACCTGTCCATATATCGTCGGGCTTCAACATTGTCCAAAGCATTCACGACTAAATCCATGGATTCAAAAAACTTATCATTGAAAAACTCCTTCTCTGTCTCCGGACACACTGTGGAAAGAAACAAAGGGAAGAAAATACTATAATCTTTTAATATCTTAAGCCCTGGCCAGACTATCAAAATTTGTTTAACAAAAGAATGTGACATGCCTAAATATAGTCTTGATGCCATCACATCATGACCATATTAGGCACATCATGACTATATATGGGCATACAGTTTTTTGTTTTGTTTTTTTAAATAAAATTTGATAGTCTGGGCAGGGCTTTAGTTATATTAAAGACATGTTATAAAGAAAATTAATAATTTCAGGTACAGGTAACTGGAATAGTGTACTGGGTATTTTGGAGTTGATGTGTATCCTGGGTGTAATTATAATATTAAAGCTAGTCTAACATAACACATAATTGCCAAAGGCACTTTAGATGCAATACAAAGATATTGTAAACAATGCCTACAAAAAAACACTCTTAGGGGAAGTAATTTTTGTAATGTAACAAATGGTAATCAGTAAATTTATATTAAACCTACCAGGTACTCACTTATACTCCAAGGTTGAGACAAGATAAATTAAAAACATATTGTCCCTGGACACAAGTGGCTTGAGTGTATATTGAAACCCCTGTTTTAAAGTTGCGGCCCCCTTCCTCCTCTCATTATACCTTGTTATTTGTTACTTGGTATTTTATATAGCACCTTTCCTTTAGGTTACAAAGCACTTTGATTTCCCTGGTCATTGGGTCCACCTGCTTAAGTGTTGCTGCCATATTGGCGCAGTAGTAGCTGGCAACCCCACCAGGCACATATTTGAGACAAGCAATGCAGATACAGCGACTTGCTCAAGGACACAAGGATTGAAACCCCGACCTTGAGGTTGGGAAATCAAATCGCTACCCTGTACGTGATAACCAATAAGACAGAACTGAAATTTTAATATTATTATTCTTTTTTATGTTGTTATGGTTCTACTTATTATTTATGGCACCTGAGATTTATTATGAATTTTTACAATAGATGGAAGTGTGACATTCAAGGATAACCTTGAGAATGAATTGCAGTAATCTACTTCACTCATCGGTAATCCTGTCGGTTTTATCTTCTGTTCTTTGATGTTTTTTAGTTAGGATTCAATATTTGATTCTCATGTAACCTACTCTATTAAATACATAACATAATAAATTTCTATTGGATATACTATAAATGATGAAATTCATTCAAATATTTGAAAAAAAGTTATTCTGAACACATTCATATTTGATAGCTAGTTTTGTTTTTTGCTAAAATAATAATTTATAAAAGATACTTATATTATAATTTGGCACTAATGAATTTCTAAAACAGTATTTCAGGAATATGAAGCCTATTAATTGATTATTTTTACACACAAGATATTTTATGACAATATATTACTGTATATGAGGCTTGCCATCCCAAAATCAACATACTGTCACTAAATGTGGCAAAGACAAGCCAAACCAGTCACTCGTCGGAAAAAACAATTTTTAGTTATTAATACAGGGTTAAACAGTAGAATGAGAGCTATAAAATGGTAAAAGAATCATTTAAATCCGACACTTCGTTATGAAGTTACACAAGTTTAAACATACAACTGTTTAAAGAACAATATTTGAGAAATCAGCCTTCAAAGTTTACGATTTCAGGTATTTCTTAGGCAGAAACCATCACCAAATTGTTAAAAATTGTTGTTTTAACATTGAAAATGAGGAAAATAACAGCATAGCATGATGTATAGATATATAAAGGTCAGTTTAGTGCAATAAAATAGATTTCCAAAATTTTGAAATTCCAGCATGTTTTGGCCATTATCTCCAAAACAGGATTTGCGACGAGTGACTGGTTTGGCTTGTCTTTGCCACAAATGTTAAACTGAGTAATTAACATAAGAATGTAGCAATATAATAATAAATAAATACTTTATTTCAACACGGTAAAACTTGATTCACCAAAGGGTGTTTTTCATCAAGGCCGTGCAAGGCCGTATAAATATAAGTAATATAAAACAATAAAAGCAAACACAAAGTAGTAAAAAAAAAATCTCAGATAAGAAAGTATAATACACTCTCCAAGCAACCAAATGCACACCAGCACGCCCGGACCCAGCATTCTGACATCAATCATGTCATCATCATGCCTGATGATGACAAAACCAATGCCGAAACACTGAATCCCAAACACGATGGCACGTATCCCAATACCTGGAGCGTGCATTATACCTTCTTATGTAGTAGTTAAGTATCAAAAACAGAAGATTAAGAAACACAATACATAAATACTAAAAAATCATTTTACAGTATATACAAGGTGAGCAAACAGAGTGAAATTGTACACTCAAGATAAAATAAACTGTTTGAATTTGACTAGATTTGATGCATTTCTAACATTGTCATTAAGATTACTCCACAGCATAGCACCACGGTAAAACTCTTTTTTTGTATTCAGTTTTTGGTTTTTCTAAATATAAGATATCTGCTGATCTTGTGTTATACTGTGGTTTTTTTTAATATGAATCTATCCCTAAAGTATGAAGGTGCATTGCCATGAAAAATCTTGTACATAGTAGTATCTTCATTATGAAATAGTTTTGAATCAAGGCTTATCCATCTAAGGTCTTGCAGGGCTTGGGAGCTAAAGTCATAGGGTGATTTTTTTAAAAATTATCTTTGCTGCTCTGTGTTGGAGAACTTGTAATTTTTTGCTTAGTGTTTTGTTTGCTCTCCCCCATATGACGTTACAGTAGTTAAAATGTGGGGCTATTAACGATTTGTACATCATTGTTTGTAGATGCTGAGGGAGTAAATCATGTGATTTCTTTAAGTAATATAAGCCTGGCAAGACCTTACTTTTGACATGGTCAGTTTGCTTATCCCATGACAAATTTTCATCAATCAAAACACCAAGATGCTTACAAGTCTGTACTCTTTTCAAACATTCACCATTGATATTTATGTTAAGATCCTTATTCATGTTCAGATCCTTATTTTTTTTTATTGTATACTTTAGTACAAAGAAGCCGATATACTTTTAACTTCGGCAATAATAATTCAATTCCAGTAAATGACTTATAATTTTAGAGCTTATAACAATGTGGAGCATATGAATATATTAAAAAGTCAATTTTCTTGTTCTGGTCACCAATGGTCATTTTGGCATGGTAAGCCCCATATTGTAATGTGTTAAATATTATATATCTCGAGTAAAATCAAACAGGTTTACCTTTGTTTTGATGAGCGACAATTTTCAAGTCTGTAATAAAAATATTGACATATTAATTGTTTATCAATTTATGCACTTGAATTATGTTGTTTAAGCAACCATAAATATGTCCTCAAAAGATTATCAGGTTTTAGAAGAAGGCTGTTCAATTTTATTTCAAGGGGTGTTCTCATTTGCGTTTATCTACATTCTATATATCTGTATTTCCTGAACAACAAGATCTTCTTTTCACAATACTGTAAATTTAATATAATAAAATCTATGCTTCGAAGCATAACCTTCTGAAGAATATTATTTCTTATTTATCTACTTATACATAAGGCAATTATTGATGGTTCATCCAGGTAAAAATTCAGAAAATACTGATTATTGTCACCTTAAAAAGTGCACTCTCTGTATTGAAATTTGCATTAAATAAATTGATATACTTGCTAACTGTTTCAATTACTAATAATTGATACAATATACTGTACAAAGAATTTAACCTGAATTAATGCTCTTGGCAGATTCAGCTCCCGTTGTTGATTTTGGTTTCTACAAAGATAGACAAAATTACTTTCAGTACAAAAAAAAAAAGAAAAAGAAAAAGAAACAGCTATCGCTTATTTGGAGAGTACTATAAAAACAACCAACACTTCTACAAAAACAACTGAATCTAAAGGCAAACTCATTGTAAAATGTTGACTCTGTAATCATTTCATTCATTCATTCATCTTTTATTTCGGAATTTCATGTCCATACAAAAGAACAACAGTTAAACCAATACAAATACATATATATATATGACAAAAGTGAAAAATAGACTGAAAAATAGACTCAAGAAAAACATCAAGATCAGGAAATCACCTTAATGTACGACGATGTTCCACTGATGATACATTTTAGAATTGTTTATCCTTTTAAAATAAACATTTTACAATTTTTATTCTTTATATATATATATATAAATATATACATTGGAAAATGTTAATTCTAAACTTTATAGTCATTATGTTCCTATATATGGTAATGATGTGATGTCATCATGACTATATTTAGGCATGTCACATGCTTTTGTCAAATAAACTTTGATAGTCTGGACAAGAGTCTATAAGAATTATCATTGTCAAACTTACTGTATATCAACCAAGTTGTTAATAAATAAGACTGTGGAAGTTTGTTAATAAATATACAAATGAAATTAAATTAACATAAGAGAACATAAACAAACTGAAGATCAAATCGTTGAAAACTAAATTTATTACTAAAAGCAGTTGTTGTTTGTATAATTCCTGTATCATCTTATACATTTGTTTATTTCTGAATCTTACCTGGATATGCTTTGGTCTGAAGAGGAATTGGCGATTCAAATTAGACTTTTCGATCAGATCATTGTCCGTGATTGTGATCTGGAAAACAATATTAATAAGTAATACTTTTATTGACGTCAATTTACAATCATGATACATTCAAAATTCACAAAAGCCTAAATAAGCATACACAAATTAAGCGCGTATGCCGGATGTACAATACGCGACATTGCAGGTGATTAAAACAAAAATTCTAATCACATGTGGGGATTTTCTTCACAATACGTGACTTTATGTATTCATTGTTTATATTTTTATATCAACTAAACAGCAGTTATGCAATTATTTTTTTTCTCATTTATGATGTGTAATAAAAATAAAAGAATCAATTAAAACACAACCTATAATGTGTAACATAAATTCTAAAATGCATATAAAATTAATTAAATATCTTGTGTAATATTTCTCCTTACATAATAA